AGCCCCAATGTCATGGGTTGGGGTAGGGACTCCAAGACACCCATCAAGGGGGTTGAGCTGGGAATATTTGGGCGAGGTGAGAGGCTGGGCATCCCCCCGAGGGAGAGGCAAGCAAGCAGGGCAGCATTCAGCCCTGCCTCAGGGATGGGGAATGGGACCATGAAGCCTTTTTCTGGCTGCAGAGCCCCCCCCAGCTAACCAGGAGGAGCACCCCAAGGCTGAGCAACCCCCTCCGCTGCCGCTGTCGCCTCTGGCCCCGCTGACATGAATCAGTCTGAATCACCCGACACGGTCTGCCTTAAAATACCGAGCCCACGCCCCGCGCTTCGTGCAGCGGAGCTACAGCAGAGGGGGGCTGCCCGAGCCCCCCCAGTCCGGTACCCCCCGCAAACTGGGGAGCCACCTCTCTCGGTTTGAGGGTGACCCCACTCATGCCAAGGGGGGGTCTGCAGCCCCTCGCAGCCCCCACCATTCATGCACCCCTCGGCCATGAGTGGGCAGCAGGCTCCTACCTTCATACGTGTACGCCGGCTTGTTCAGGGGGTCCGAGAGGAAACAGGAGCAAAAGAGGGAGACGAGAGGCAGCTCCTTCATCTTCTCTTTGTAAGCTGGGAAGAGATGGTGGGATCGGGGTCAGAGGGGTGGGGGGGTCCTGCCAGGCATCTGCGTGCGGGGGAAGGGCTGGCACCGAAATTTGCCCAGATATTGCCAACAGGGTGATTTAGGTGGGGGAAGCAAGGTGTGCAAAGGGGAAACTGAGGCACACAGAGGCCGGGTGCTTTACTCATGGCCATATGGGTTACGTCTACCCTGGTGTCTTAACCCCATGCATGTCCCCTTGCCGTGAGCGTCCCAGGGCAGGGGTTAGCCCAGGGCAGAGCCATCCCCAAGGTGGTTTGGATGGGGCCCCACTCAAACTGGGGGTGCCAGGGCTGTGTTCACGGGCTTGGGTGAGCCATGCTGTCCCCTGTCCCCACGCGCGGCCCTCTGACGGTGCCGTACCAGCCAGAGTCATGGCGTGACAATCCTTGGGCGTCTGCAGCAAGAACGTTCCTGGGACCTGGAGGAGGAAAGAGCCGGGGTCAGTGTGGGGTGTCCCAGGGGCTGGGGGCGTCACCCAGCCCTGCCCACCCATGCCTGCCCATTGCGGGGTGTCCTGGGGCTGGGGACATCGCCCAGCCCTGCCTGTCCCAGTGGGCAGTGGGACAGCTGCCCACAGACGGCCTTGGGTGCATGCTGGGGGGGCTGTGGTGGGCACATGCTGGTGTGGTGTGACGGGGATGCACTGGTGTGATGGGCACACGCTGGTGTGGTGTGATGGGAATGCACTGGTGAGGTGGGCGCATGCTGGTGTGGTGTGATGGGAATGCACTGGTGAGGTGGGCGCATGCTGGTGTGGTGTGATGGGAATGCACTGGTGAGGTGGGCGCATGCTGGTGTGGTGTGATGGGAATGCACTGGTGAGGTGGGCGCATGCTGGTGTGGTGTGATGGGAATGCACTGGTGAGGTGGGCGCATGCTGGTGTGGTGTGATGGGAATGCACTGGTGAGGTGGGCGCATGCTGGTGTGGTGTGATGGGAATGCACTGGTGAGGTGGGCGCATGCTGGTGTGGTGTGATGGGAATGCACTGGTGAGGTGGGCGCATGCTGGTGTGGTGTGATGGGAATGCACTGGTGAGGTGGGCGCATGCTGGTGTGGTGTGATGGGAATGCACTGGTGAGGTGGGCGCATGCTGGTGTGGTGTGATGGGAATGCACTGGTGAGGTGGGCGCATGCTGGTGTGGTGTGATGGGAATGCACTGGTGAGGTGGGCGCATGCTGGTGTGGTGTGATGGGAATGCACTGGTGAGGTGGGCGCATGCTGGTGTGGTGTGATGGGAATGCACTGGTGAGGTGGGCGCATGCTGGTGTGGTGTGATGGGAATGCACTGGTGAGGTGGGCGCATGCTGGTGTGGTGTGATGGGAATGCACTGGTGAGGTGGGCACATGCTGGTGTGGTGTGATGAGGATGCACTGGTGTGATGGGGATGCACTGGTGCGGTGTGACGGGTACGTGCTGTTGGGATGGGCACCCACTGGTGGGATGGGCACCCACTGGTGGGATGGGCACCCACTGGGACGACGGCCGGCGGCCCGCCCCCGCA